GGCTACAGTTATAAAGTCTGAAAAATTTGTCGTTAAAGTCAACTAAGTTAAGTCACAATTACTACAAAAGTAATAGTATGACTATTACTTTTGTAGTAATAGCCATACTATTTCTGGAACTATTATAGCTGCGTTATTTTAAGTTCCTTAATATGAAACTACTCGAAAACCTAAACATACAAAGCTTTAGTAGCATATATAGCGATATATACGGTCGGTAGCTTTCAAAAAAGTTGTTATAAAAATGTATAGAGCTTAAAATTTTACATAAAAAAGGCTAAATGATTTTTAAAGTGCTTAAAAATCTAACCCAAAGGTGTATAGTAAGATAGAAAATTTTAGATATACAAATATTCTTTTGCTTTAAAAAAATATAACAATTTGAAATTTTCTAATTGAAATTTGAATGCTTAAAAATTAATGAATTATTAATTTTTTGCTATAAATATAGCAAAAAATTAATAATTTTTTCCCTAGTATTTTTGGACAGGTGTGAATTTTGTAGAGTTATAAAATCTTTTCAAATCCTACGCTGCGCCGTTGTATTTAGTCCCGAGCTATTGCTTACTCGTATACGAGGTCCGAGTAAGAGTGAGAAGGCATCATCGGAGAGTTATTATTCTCTTCGATCTGTTCATTAAAATAGATCAGGTTATTTTTGCCTACTTGGTGATTGAATCTGAAACCAGGAAGTAAATTTTTAAGATTGGTGATTTAAGAGACACTTTATTTACAACATGCAGCTGCATTTAAAAAAGAAGTTCTATTAGCTTCGCTACCACCAACAGAATCATCATTGCGTGAACAAACAAAACGTGTATATTATCAGATTCAATTATGGTTGGGCAATACTTTGAACCCTGAAGAATGGGGATGGAGAAAGACATTATTTATGATGCTGCCTATTATGTCAACTTCAGATCCGACACCACTGCACTTATTGAAGAAGTATGTACACTTAGGTTAATATTTATTACATTTTTTATTATTCCGTTAATAATTAAACGTTTTTATATAAATTTATTTTTAGATGTTTTGTGGTTGCAAAACTATCTGCACATCAGCTATATGTAACTGTAAGAAAATCAAAGTTGCGAAAACGGATCAACAACGCAAATAGTTTTAGAAGATGATAATCCATTAAATGATAATGATGACGATGAAAGGTAATATTATCGTGAAGAAGATGAAGAAGAAGAAATAAGGTCTGGAAAGAAATAAGGTTGGATCATCTAATGAGACAGAAATGGAATTAAATTATTATTAAAAAATTATGAAAATGCTCATGTTTTTAACGAACTAATAAATAAACTTTTTTACCATTTCTTTTATGCCAATTATATTTTTAGCAAGCACATTCTGTTAGTCTACTTTTGATGTTCTCGTAATTGATAAGCTTTCAAATGAATATATATTTATTTATTTACTATTACCCTTGAATAAATTAAATAATAAAATTAATAACTTTTCATAAAAATTAATTATTTTTTACTAATACAAATTAAATCAAGGTTTTGAATTTATCTAATTCAAGAAAACTTTGAGGAATTGTATCAATTGTTTATCTAGGTCGATGCCAAGTTGCGAAATTCAAAAAACTAACTTGACATGTCGGGATGATTTTTTTAAATAATTTGTAAGCCAAATGTTTATAGAAAAAATGCTGTTTTAAACAAACCCAACATGTCAAGATTTTTTTATGAGTAAACAATAGTGCTCTCTTTTTAACTCGGGACTAAATACAACGACGTAGGATTTGAAAAAGATTTTATACCTCTACAAAATTCACACCTGCCGAAATGTACTAGGAAAAATTTGTATCTCTAAAATTTAAATTTTTAAATTTTAAAATCTAACCTATAGGCTAGATTTTAAGCAATTTAAAATAATCGCTTATTATTCTACTCCCTACGATTTAACTTAACTTCCCTAACTCGGTAAATTTTGACCGGAACAAAAAAATCATTTGACCTTTTTGATGTAAAATTTTAAGCTCTACATATTTTTACAAGAACTTTTTTGTGTAATTTTTACCGAGTAATTGCGAAAAAACACTTTTGAAATTATTTTTTAACCCTTGCCGAGGGTTGCGGGCACGAAAACCTTTACATATTTGTTTTGTATCAGTAAAACTACATTATATCAAAAAAAGTTGAGTGTCAAAATTTTTATTTTAGAATTTCAGACCTTATTTGACTGAACTATGACGTAATATCGCATCAAATTAAATATGAAAGTTCAGCAAGCTGTAGCGCCAGACTGTCTATACATACTCGTAATAAGTCTCGATCGATTGCTGTTGAGTTGGCTGCTTAAATATTTTATGTGAATATTGTAGTACAGTTATTCTATTTCACGATGAAGGTTTGAATTTGTTTGTTGTTAGCCACGTACATACACATTGTGTTAGTCTGCGTAGGCCTCTGGAGCGCTCCCGAACCAAAAATCAAAGTCAAACCTTCATCATGAAATATAATAACTTTACCTACCTATAAGGCTTTAAGACGTAGATGCATGAATATTTACCGCTATCCGCTACCGTTAAAATCTATCAAAGTCCACTGCTGAACATAGGCCTCCTTCATAGATTTCCTCTTAGGGGGTATATTTTACATAGTTGCCACGCTTGGCATGCAGGTTGGCAACAGCAGTTTTATTTTTATTTTGAGTCGTTATTAGGAAGACGCTGTCGCCTCCCATCTCCTGGTTTGTTTCCCTTTGTCGCCTCTTACGACACCCACGAGATGACATGGGTTAGTGGATATTCTTACACAGCCACTACACGGTACATTAATATTTATATAACACATATTATGTAAAGTTACAACCTATATACGTCCTATAGCTGGGCACTAGCCTCCTCTCATTTCTGAGAGCATTTTAGTGCAAGAAAATGTGCCCCAATGCGTGTTCATGAACTTCACATATCTTCGTAGTATTATTTTTGGGACTTGCACCTTCTGCTTACAAATATATTATATGTGTGATATTTAAAAATAAATATGTTTAAAGACGATAATCGGTCGCAGGATAATGTAAGTAGTAAGTAAACACGTAAGTTCTCAGGGAGTACCAACATTACCCATACTCGGGTCCTCCTTATGAAAGTTCATACACAGCTTCCACATTCAATAAGAAAACTCATTTCCAGCTACCAATAGTTAATGTGTGCATTATCCATTATCACAAATCTTGGAAATTTGTACCTCTACAATATAATGTAGCAGCCGCCCGGGGCCGATCGAGCTCTAAATGCCGCCTCAAACTAATATGAAGGAGATTCACTTTCATTCGAAATTTTTATTCCCGAATTATCTTAAAAATATAGAATTGGTAAGAGTACTCTATAGTATTTGGTCATTATTTAAAATATGAATAAAACAATAACAATCTATAGCAAGCGCGTGTTTTCTATATTTTAATAACGGCTGTTGCTAATCAAATTCAATCAAATTAATCAGACGATAATCATAATAAAAATACTTATTTGCCTGATAACTTTTAAAATTAAAAATTTCATTTCTTTCAAAATTATATTTTAATCTATTTATAGTTAACAAATAATATATCAATATTATGTAAACAATAAAAACCTTAACTACCTTTATACTTATGTCACTGATATTGCAAGATTGGTATAATGTTTTATCAGACGGAAATAAAATAATAATAATTAATCATACAAGTAAGTATATAAAACTACATATATGTATATACTTTATTTTATTCAACTGTTTAAAATTATTAAAAATGTTTTTATTGTATTTATTTTTTAAATTAAAAATATTTAAATTATATAGGACGAAGAAAAATAAATAAAACATATGATAATCATAATAAGAAAATAAATCGTTCGATTATTGTATGAATGGACACTTTCTTTCAAAACTTGTAAGTTTTCGTAATATTTACAGAAAATTTACAAAATTTTTTCAAATTTTTTTAAGAAAAAAGATCCGAGTTTCATTCTCAAAATGCCGCCCCCTAAAATATTCCGCCCAGGGCCATGTCCGTTGTTACGCCTCTGGTAATGTTTATAAGTGCATTGACACATGCACTTTTTTCGTAGTAAAAAATATTCAAATACAATGTGGATATCCAGATATAACTTTACCAATATTACTTATTTATGTATAAAATACCTTAAGTATGTTCATATAATGCACCGCGACTTTGTAGCTAATAAGGTCGGGTTTATAAAATTCCCATATTCTAGACATATTATGGGAAACTTATCGCAATTCAATAATTAGAATGCCATATCCCAGAATGTTTTTTCAAGTATATATATGCAGCAATAAGTATTACATACGTATGAAGTTTTCTTTCAAACATGAACACCATTCGTTCATCATTAGTGCCTATCATAAGACCATTGTTCAAAGACCTCCCTCATAGAGGGGATATTTTATATGTACATACTTCATAGGGGGGATATTTGCAATAGTTGCCACAATTTCCAACACCAGTTTTTTTATTGTTTTGAGTTCCTTATCAGATCCCATTTTCTTTTTCATTTCCCTCTGTTGCTTGTTACGATACCCACGGTATGATATAAGTTAATGGATTTTGTTATGCCGTTACAATAATTTGGCAACTTCGGCTTCGAATTACTCACTCGGTGTTATTTTTTTTGTTTTGAAAAATATGCGGATTATGCTTGTCTTTTTGTGAAACTATTATATATATATATATATATATATATATATATATATATATATATATATATATATAATTAATACAATTCGATGTTATAATTTTAATGCGGGATTGTTCCGCACAATCTACGACGGCTGCCCACCTTATCCTCAACATTGCTATTTCATATTTTTCAAATATATAATTACACAAGTCTCTTTATAAATAACAACGTTGAAATTAATGTTTTGATAGTCGGTTAGCAAACATTTTGAAAAATCTCCTTTAACAGCCTCCACAGTGAGTTATAAAAATTAATATTTATATTATTGCCTTATAAGTTCTTTAGTTCTAATACTTACTTGTTGCGTAAACGACGTGGAAAGGAATGCGTTTAGGCATTATTTCTTCTCTATCACTACCTGCCGGTTTTATGCGATATTTTTAAATTCACTTCCATCGCTAATTACACTAAGATGATTTTAATTTGAATAGATAGACATAGAAATACATCGCAAATGAAAACACATTTTTTTGAAAAATAACACACGCAAAACGCTTGATCTCTACTACCTACATTTCTTAACTCTAACTATTTTAGTGTAAATTTAAATAAATATTCAGTAATAAAATATAGTAAATGATAAAACAAGAGTGACATAGGGTTGAGGACGAAGTTAGCGCGACAAGAGCGGCGCTGACAAAAAATCAATACTTGAATAATTACCGGGTGCCCCTCACTGCCCTCTACTCTTCTTAGTAAAAACATTCATTCGCCATCTGTTGACAAATAGCAGAACTACATGACATGTAGTATAGCCCACTAGCCGCCGGAAGTGTTGTATTTATAAGGTCTGTATTTAATGAGGGCATCCACGACTTTTTCTGCCACCAGGGCGGCGCCACTTTAGAGTAAGGTAAAATATTTGACAGATTTCATAGCGGGGATGATAATTTCTTAGGAAAATGTAATCTTTAAGGTTTCTTTATGTATTATTAGTTATATTTTATATTAATTACATTAGAAATGAATAAACCAAACTATAAATATAACTAATAGACGACTTTTAAAAAAAAAAGAGTTATAATGTGCAAATAATTAAAAATCAAACCACTGACGCATTGTGTTGTGTATTAATATAATACTATAGATAATGATAAACTATTATTTAAAACTAATTTCTCAATTAACTGACATTGTGTAACAAAAAATTTTACCTCAGTCACAACTAGCGACATCTGGTGAGTGGAATATTATTAGCCCTCATTGCTTACCAAAAGTCAAAGTCAATATTAAAGACGGTGTAATTTAACCTTTGCGGTATTCTCATGTTGCTATTACACTCTTTGGTTGCTGCAAAGTATTTTTTTTATAGGAGAGGGGGCAAACGAGCATGCGGCTCACCTGATGGTAAGTGACTACCGCCGCCCATGAACAATTGCCACACCAGGGATTTTCAGATACGTTGCCGGCCTTTTAAAAAGGAATTAGGCTCTTTTCTTGAAGGTCCCTAAGTCGTATCGGGCCGGAAAAATCTCGTATCTGATCGGAAAGAACTTGGTCGTCGACGATTCGAACCGCTCTGCGCTGGATGCTGTCAAGTGGAAGGAGCTGGCACTGGGGAGCCTCTGCCCAGAGATGGGAACAGTATTCCATGTGAGACCGAACCTGCGCCTTGTAAAGTTGCAGGTGGTGTGCCGGCATGAAATACTTTCCCGCTCTGTTGAGCACGCCAAGCTTTTTAGAGGCCAATTTGGCCTTCTCTTCCAAGTGACCACGAAACTGCACGTCACTCGATATTTCGACGCCGAGGATTCCGATACTGGCTGAGGCAACAAGGAGAGTGCCTTGAAACTGAGGAGATACGACAAAGGGGTTCCCTTTAGCGGTAAACGCGCAAACTTGTGTCTTCTGGGGATTGAACTGGACTAGATTTAGTCGCCTCCAGTCCGAGACTTTGTGCAACAAAGTCTCGACATCAGATACAAGTTTGTTCCGGTACTCGGCGACGTTTTCCCGAGAAATACTGGCACGGCCAGTGTATAAAGCATCACCAGTGCTGTCATCCGCATAGCAATATATGTTACCGGTTTTCAACATATCATTGATATACAGAAGAAACAGCGCTGGTGATAGCACACAGCCTTGTGGAACACCATCGTTAATAGGCTTGTAATCGGAGCACGCACCATCTACTACGACCTTGATGCTCCGATCAGGCAGAAACCTGGTGATCCAATTGGACAATTTCTCGGGAAGCCCATAGGCAGGAAGCTTCGATAGAAGCGCTTTTTGCAAGACCCGACCGAAGGCCTTCGCTGTGTTCCCCCTTGGACTCGATCGCCTGCGCCCGTCTATGTGTTAGGTAAACAAGATGATCACTAGCTGAGCGACCCCGACGGAAACCCTACTGGCAGTCACTAATCAGCTGGTGCTCCTCAAGGTATCGCATGAGCTGACAGTTAATAATAGGCTATAATATTTTCGAGAACAAGGAGGCGATGGCAATAGGCCTGTAATTAGACGGATCAGAGCGGTTACCTTTTTTAGGGATCGGGTGCATGAAAGCTGTCTTCCATGAATTCGGGACAACGCCTAGGGAGTAGGAGTACCGAAAAAGACACGTTAGAACCAGTGTCAACTCTGGAGCACACGTCTCAGCACAATTGGGGGGATTCCTTCAGGCCCACTCGACTTGTGGATGTCTAGGGAGAGGAGTGTTTTGCGTACTGAGGCATAGAGCACTCACACTGCGGGACGGTTAGTGGTTCAGTGGTGTGTGTCCCCTTCATCAAGAGTCGAGTTGGACGCAAAAAGGGAGCCTAATAGGTTGGCTTTCTCTTTTGCGGCGTTGGCCAGTGAGTCATTCTCCCTGTGCAAAGATGGTAGTGATGGTTTACAGAAATTCTCTTGGACAGCCTTGGCGAGAGACCAGAAAGCACGGGTTCCCGAAGGAAGGCGAACTAGTTTTTCGCCAGTTCTGCCTATGTGCTCTGACTTTGCCTTGGCAATAACTCTTTTGAAGGACATGGAGGCGAAGCTATACTTCTTTTTAAGCAAGCTGGTGTTTACATCCCGAGCCGCCGAAGCCCCAGCCCACACCCGATAATACTCCTGCTTACTACGTAATGCAGTCTTGCAGAAGCGATCAAACCAAGGCTGTGATCTGCCACCGATGGGTACCACAGATGATGAAATAAATAGTTCCATTCCCTGTAGCACCACATCGGTAACAGAGTCAGCGCTGGGATCATCCGGCGAGAAGCAAATCTGGTTAGGATGCAAAGAAAGACCGCATTCCGTCCCAATCCGTCGACCTGTAATGCCAAACACGGCGGCAACCTGCAGAACGCAACTGCTAGAGCGTGAGTGGCCCCACACTCCGGATCAGACAATGGTCCGAATAGATAAGAGAAGCATCGACGGAAACCCGATATCCGTCCTGAGAGGTCAGCAAAAGGTTCAACAGGGAATGTGTATGATCCTCCACATGTGGTATCCAGTTGTGTCAGACCATATGCCAAAGCAAGGTCATAAACAGATCTCCCCGCATGATCGGTTGAACGTGAACCGAGCCATTCAGCGTGGTGGGCGTTAAAATCGCCAAGTATCACGATCTCTACGGATGGGATCTGTTGTAGCAAGAAATCTGTAGCCATTTGGACGTGGTCGATGAGTCGGTGTGTGTCGGCTTTACCGCTATGGTATCTATACAGGCACCCGTAGACGCGGGGATGGTCATCGCTGTCTACGCGCAGCCATAGGATAGATAGGTCCGTACCTTCAAGATTGCCGAAGTGTCGATAACAGATATCCTCTGACGTATACGCAAACTCCAGCCCGGGGCACAAAGAAGTGTTCTAATTTGTACCCCGGGTAGGACAGGTACGAAGTATCAGCCGGAGAGGATACCTGCGTCTCGGTCAAAAAGAGCAAGGCTGGCCTCGCCGTCTCTAGATGGTAGTGGACGGCGTTAAGGTTCGAGTGAAGTCCCCTGATGTTGCAGAACTCCACGGATAGCGTGGTAGTGGTCGCCATGGTTTTATCGTTCTGTTTGCCCCGTGCAGTGATAGTATAGAGCGGGATTTTGCCCCCCTCCCCCACACACACAGAGAATACGCGGGGCAGCCTGAGCACTCACGTTCAGGAAGTAGAGGGTAGCTTGACCGTGGATGCTCAGTGAGGGATTCTCCATTACCAGGGGTGCTGGTACCCTCCTGGGGTATTCCTTTCTTTTTAAATTGCGCTACCATGTTTAGGGGGGAGGTGGGCCTCCGGCCACCTTCACTAACCAAGCGAAACGCAGAAGCATAGCTCCTACTTTACGTTGGTATTCTGTGAGGTCGTGGTACTGCCCCGGTTCAAACCGGCCCATCCGTGCTACAGCAGAGGCTCTATCACTGTTAAAAGTAAGTATAAACAACAACAGTTTTTAGGTTAGGGGAACGGATTGCGGCGTAAGAAATAAAAAATCAGGAGTTCAAAATAAAAAAATGCAAGATTTTTTTATGTCATAAGGATAATAAACGAGCACACAGTCCACCTGATGAGGATTGGATGCTGCGCTACCATAGACATCTACATTTATTCTCGATTAAGAATCAAAAGCAGATGCGTTGTCACCCCTGAAGACTAAGATGGAATGTCTCGTTTCCAGTAAAAAGGGTCACCGGTTCTCTACACTCACCATACAAAATACGGCAGTAGTAAGCTGCTATTTTACACTGATATTCTGTAAGAGCGTGGTCCTGCCACGGTTGAGCCGACCTATTCGTGCTACAACCATTATTTTTTCTTTCCAGTGATCCACATATGGGTCATTACTATTGTCTTACTATTGTGTCAGCAAATCGAATAGTGAAATATAGCTGCAGCGTGCCTCTACCATGTATATAATCCGTAAAATGAGTAACATTGAACATTACAGGAATAGAAGAAGTAGGATAGAAAAAAAAAACACGAGTTGCTTTTTTACGAGTTTATTATATCCTGCAGTAATCATCGTTGGCGACCGAGACTATCCAGCGGAGGAGCGTGGTGACGCGCGCGTTGACGGCAGGCTCGCCGGACGCGCAGAACGAGCCGAAGCTGACGATGCCCACGCTGTACAGCAGCCCGTTAGACGGGTCCGTGTACAGAAGCGGCCCACCGGAGTCGTCCTGGAAATGTATGAACGTTAAATTAAACTAATTTTATGGATTTCATCGCGTTTAATTTTTTATTGTTTATTCCCTACGTTTCGGGTGCTTTACAGGGGATGAGGTGTTTGACGTCCCGATGTCAAGATACTGTGTATCCCGACTTGAAGATACTGTTAACTGACCAAAAATTAATATTCAAAAGCTGGAGGTAGCCGGGTTAACTATGACATCGGGATGTCGAAAACCTCAGCCCCTCCGTAACCGTGAGTGCTGTAAAGTGCTCGAAACGTCAGAAATATAAAATAAGTTAATATACGCGATAAATTCATTTAATATAAAGTTATTAAAGTTTTAGGAAACAACGATTTTTATCAGCACTACGTATTCAGTGATGTGTGTTTTCTTGATATATCAGGCAACGCGGACGAAATCGCGAGTATCAGCACTAGCTGATAACCGAGACTTGCGTCCGCGTTGCCTTGTTGCATTTTATTTTACATATATTATACTAGCCACCCGCCCTGGCTTCGCCTGGATAGGATCTATTAATGTGGTGTTATTTAGTATTAAGATAACCAACCACTTACCATCAGGTGGACTGTGTTCGTTTATCTTTTCTATAAAAAAAAACCTACTTTATCAATTTTAGGTTTAAAAAAAGGTTTTAGTTTTTCGGATAAGGGATAGCCTAGATCCCCTCCTGGCATTGCTTGCTCTCTATCCGTTCATATAGTTTCATCACAATCTGTTCAGTCATTTCGAAGATTAGCCCAGACGCACAGACAGAAAGACATACGACAAAAATTATAAGATTGGTCATTTATGTGTTAATAACATGCAAATAACTCCCAGTTAACCCAATTCCCAATAAACCAGTTGTTTCAATATTACAGACATATACTTTTTTATATGCATAGATTAATAATCAATGAAGATGCGTTGTCACCCAAGACTAAGACGGAATGACTCTTTACCAGTAAATAGGAAAATAAAATTGATCAATTTATATAAATATTACCTACTAAAGTAATATAATATATGTGAAATAAAATGTAATTGTTAAAAAGTGGTAACAATATTATAATAAATAAAAATAATTATTCTACTTCTGATAGTGTTCATTCATCTAATTCTCTCGAAGTTCAGTGTTTCAAAGGTTTCACTACTACCGCGTCTGAACTGCACGCATGTTTTGTATTTATAGTTACGTTTACTTCTTAAACGTACCTGACAGGAGTCCTTCCCCGGAGTGTAGGTGCACATTTGTCGCGGCGTGACCGACGGCACGCTGCGCCGGCATGCAGGCTGGCTGATCACGTCTACATCCACTTTCCGCAGGACCGCGGACGTCGGGCCACCGGGGAACAAAGTGCCCCAACCTGAATTGATAAGAATCTGTTGTCTGAGCTTGATACGGCAACTTTAACATCTCACCCCAAAATTACTAAGTCTGAACATCGTACTGGTAGCTGCCGCTGGTGTCAAGAGTGCTGGTTCTTTTCTTATCCATAGGCTAAATATAAACATTCAGTGGGAAGAGGCAGCTTGCGTTTTAGAAATTATACCGCAAAGAGTAGAAGTATAAAATAGGTGGTAGGTTCCCTTTTCTGTCTGGTACTACACTTTTAAATATTTATTCGGCTAAATAATAGTGCTTGTACAGCTGTTCCGGTCTGTACGAAAAAGCCAGTATAAATACAGGCGGCGAGGCGTTCCATTTTAATCCTCAAAGGTGACAACGCATCTGTAGCCTACTTTGTTTGAAGTTGGTCGCAGGTGACTATTGACTGCAGTAGTCAATTTCTATCTGGTCTATAAGTTCGTTTGTCACTTTAATTTGGTTTTAAATGCATATGTGTAGGTCCAGAAGTGGACTTTTAAGGACCGTTAAATAAAGAAAGAAGAAAAATATGTGCGTGAGTTCGTGTTAAGTAGTTCAGCATGAATTTGGCGTTACTTGAAATAAAGGCAGCGCTTCGACTGTCTTTCTTTGTTGGCAACGAACTTTAAAAACTAAGTTCATTGTTATGTAATATACTTAAAGGGCATGGTGAAGTTTGCCTTGCAACAGCGCAGCGTGCTCTTTCTTGTTCGAAGGCGGAAATAAACTAACAAAAATAAAGTAGTTGCTGTGACCCATAGATATCTACATCTATCCTGAATAAAGAATCAAAATGCAGATGCGTTGTCACCCGTGAGGACTAAGATGAAATGCTTCGTTTCCAGTAAAAAGGGTCTCCGGTTCTCTACACTCACCATACGAAACACAGCAGTGTTAAGCTGCTATTTTAAGCTGGTATTCTGTAAAAGCGTGGTCCTTCCCCGGTCGAGCCGACCCATTCGTGCTACAACTACACTACTAGTATAGCTGTAGCATGGCTCTACCACATATTAAGTTACTCTCAACATCAAATAATTACCGTACTGCTTTTAAAATATTATGAATACTCACCTAAGACAGTAACCTTAGCTCCAGTGAAGTCATTAGTAAGAAACTTGAAGGGTAAGCAGACTGGACCGACCCGGTCGCTGAACACAATCTCCCGCTCCACAGTTAGTATCGATACGTCGTAATCGTAGTTGGCCCTGGAATATCGTTAGTTTAAATAAAACTTAGCAAATGTACTTTGATAACGTTTTTTATAATCAATCGACAACTATTGCAATTAAAATTTTCTTTAAAGTTTCTCTCTAAAATTATGTAAAAGCCATTATAATTAGGTACAAAGTGTTTAATTACATATATTTATATTATTAACACCCCATTTTGCCCCTTAGGTTGTGTCATTAGAGGTGACTTCGCAGATCTTAACGAAGCATTAGGAGCATGGGAGCAGCGTCAAAAGTGCAAAATGTCTGCGATCAAAAATCACCTAATAAACGTTACTATGACAAACACAATTTTACTTAAAAAGCGAAAGGAACACGAGCAGCATTGGACTATTATGGGCTGTTAATGATAGAGAAGAAAGCTATTACATTATGACAAATTATTACTTACTCTGTGTACTGCGGGTGGATGTTGATATTAATAACCCTGAATACCTCCGTTGCCGGTGAGTCGGCTAGAAAATAAAACGTTTTATCATTTTAGTCGCTCTGCATTCATGCTGCAATCATAATACAAATGCAGCGTCGCTCTACCACGTGACGGATTCTACCCTACCTCAACAAATGTTAGTTATAAGCCAATGTTTGACTATTATGGCACCTGGTAAGTGATGAGTGCTAACACAGTAACAATTGTGCAAATCCGGAGCCCACTGCTTAAAAAACTACTGGAAAACTTATTTCAATTTATAAAAAACATACTGTTACATAAAATATTTAGAAGTAATTTTCTAAATACTTTACAAATATTATATTCAAAGTATTAGCCGAAAAATTATTTTATAATAAAGAAATGAAAAATAATAATAAGGAATATCAAAATATGTTAAAAATAAATAATAAAATCCCGCTTCCCACAAGGTTTACTGTACGTTCAGATGACAAGCGCTCAACGCGCGTTTTGATAACGCGCGCTTACAACTACATCAGTTTTATTCAGGCCGTACACATGCTAACGCGCGCTTTAATAAAGCGCGCGTTGAACGCTACGCTAGCGCTCGACTGTTGTCAGCGCGCATCAACGCGCGCTTTGAGATCATTCGTTTTCTATGTTACCGTTCAGTTGAACGCGCGCTTTTGATGCGGAGATACGTATTTTAGGGTTCGCTCAGTTCATCCAGAAATCTGATTAGTTAGAAGATTGTTAAGTCTGGATCAGGAGCTTTGAAAAATTCCTCATATATTCATTATAATAGACTACGATTTCTACAGGCATCTATAGCCAACAAAGATACAGAAAGTAGTTTCAATACAGATAATGCATCAGCTTCGTCAGAAGTTGCTAGTCCTCACTTTAAGAGTCCTACTACTCCAAGAAAAAAACAAAAAAATAAGTTCTGCTGACGAAAGATTTGCAAGCATATTACAGCAAAGTTTAGCACAGAAAAATGTTTCGGAACCAAAAGATGACGATCACTCGTTAAAGAGATTTAAAAAATCCCGGAATATAAACGACTTCGTACTAAAATTGACATTTATAATTTAATCTTGCAAAACCAAAACCTTCAAGGACCGCAACATCAGTCATTTGAAAATCTAAATTATCGTAACACGTTACCACAACGAAGAAATTATTTGCCACAAGAGCAGCGAAGTCAAACTTCTGACTAAGGCTTTCAACAACATGATTACAGATCACAGCAATCTAGTGTGCCAAATAATTTAGCACATTATGGTTATACTACAGCAATGGGATCTCTATCGCCAGTAACACACTCCATCGCCTGCATCAACCAACGCCAGCAGTGAATCGGAGATAGAGTTATTCTACGATTAACAAAATGTTTTTTTTTCCTTTTTTTTTCTTTTGTTCCTAAACAAGTATTAATTTATAAATTTGTGTCTTGATTAACAAAAAACTTACCTCAATGTAGTTATGAGTTTTTCTTCTGGTGAAATACTATATCGCACTGCGTTTTTATTTGCTACGAGTTCATCGTTTATAAGAGCCAGTAAGTTATCAAATGACTTGATAGACATTCTGAAGTAGTTAAAAATTTGGGTTTGTATTGCCTTAACTTAAGATACAAAATTATGTACTGGCTTTCAGTCAGCCTGTATGAAAAAATTGGGTGGATCCAATATCTCCGTCTTCTGTCGCGTCGTTTCTGTCGTCTGTAAAAAAACACCGCTAAAACTGTTTCTACGTCCATCTTCGACAAATGTAGAACTCAAATTAGTCAGGTCAAGGCGGCCGCGGCAACGCACGTGCAACATGGTGCGCGCTTGTCAGGCGTAAAAACTCATAATTACATTGAGGTAAGTTTTTATTAATCAAAGTTGTTATTAATCAAGACACAAATTTATAAATCAATACTTGTTAAGGAACAAAAGAAAAAAAAAGAAAGGAAAAAAGAACATTCTTTTCTTGCCAAGCCCGTCCCCTTAAGTTCTTATCTGAATAAACGCTACTTGTCATGTCCCATATCGCAGGGCGTTTTTCTATTTCATCTATAAATTATTCGGTATTAAAAACTTCCGTTTCCATTTCGAGCGATTTCTGGATGAATTGAGCGAACCTTAAAATACGTCTATCCGCATCAAAAGCGCGCGCTCAACTTAACGGTTACATAGAAAACCAATGATCTCAAAGCGCGTGTTGACGCGCGCTTACAACAGTCGAGCGCTAGCGCAGCGTTCAACGCGCGCTTTATTAAAGCGCCCGTTAGCATGTGTATGGCCTGAATAAAACTGATGTAATTGTAAGCGCGCGTTATCAAAACGCGCGTAGAGCGCTTGTCATCTGAACGTATCCTAAGGATATATTCATATTAATACAACGTTTAAGGTCATTCACCCTAAATTGCACTACCTATTCCGATCACAGGTGACGATGCAGAAAAACATGTTAAGGCGCACTGATTTAGTCTAAGGAGGCATACATATTTACATTTTTGTCTTGTATAAAGTTACAACCCATTTTAAGTCCTGCTGCTGGGTACAGGCCTCCTCTCATTCCTGAGAGCTTTTTATGGCAAGTAAATATTCGCTACGTAGCCTCAACATGTGTGTTGGCTTCACGTGTCTTAAATTTTTTTTTTTCAATTTCTCAGACATGCAGGTTTCCTCAGGATGTTTTCCATCTTCGGCAACCGCGTGGTAAATCAGCACTTAATGCAATTAACAATTTAATTGTGGTGCCTGTGGCGATCGAATCCAGGTTGCTCGTTTAGCCTCTAAGTTCTATTTTGACTTAAATCAAACTCACCAACATTTACGTTGTGTTCGCCAACCACAACGCCCAGCTCCCTGGTTGTCTTCCTGATGACACAATGCGCGGCGCTCATCACGCGCCGCTTGCTGATGATGACAGCACCGCAATTGATACGACGGAGGTCCACATATATGACTCCGGCCATCATGGGGAACTCGTTCACACCTGTTTCTTGACCGCCTACAATACGATTCTGGAAACATGTGCCTTACATTCGTATTAACTGAGCAGATTTAAAAGAATCACATGTCTTTGATACGTGGTAGAGCCATGCTGCAGCTATATTTCTGGTATAGTTGTAACAAGAATGGGTCGGCTCGACCGGGGAAGGACCACGCTCTCACAGAATACCAGCGTAAAATAGCAGCTTAATGCTGCTGTGTTTCGTATGGTAAGTGTAGAGAACCGGAGAACCTTTTTACTGTTTACTTTTACATTCCATCTTAGTCCTCACGGGTAACAACGCATCTGGATTTTGATTCGTAATCGAGGATAAATGTAGATGTATATGGGCCACAGCAACCACTTACCATCAGGTGGACTGTGTGCTCGTTTGTCACCCTTATCCTATAAAAAAAAAGAATCGCATATTTCATACACAGGATGGTGATTTAATAGGTGGGACAGAATCGGATGACAATGTAGCAATATGACAAATGAAACGTGGTATATTAAACTTTATTAATACAAAATTTAAAAAAACATCTCTTGTTTTAAATCACGCGTCAGTCTCTCTACCGAAGTTGTGTACAGAAAAATTCTCTGATAATACTTCAACGGTTGTTTGTTGATCTGGATGATTTAGCGTGATCAATATCTTTCTTAAGAGCTCTCTAAAGGCCTTGCAGATCGCAGTATATTTTCGCAGATTTTATCGCCTTTGCTAATTTTTTTAAAACAAAGACGGTGCGTGCTTAAGTATAGAGTAATTAATAGAATCAGGCGTTACTTTGCGGAAATCCATAATATAAAAGCTTTTAGAAAAATTTACTTCGCAAATATCCGCGTTATAAAATAAAATGATGTGTCTTACCTAGTATGAAGAGCACCTCCCGCGCTCCCTCAATTGCGTGCACTATCACCGTCACCACTAATCCCAGCACCGCTACTCCCAACACCACTACACTAGGCAAGACACACCACTGATGATAATACAACACGTGTTTCGCCTCTACACGAGGCATCCTCAGGTGATATAGACTCTACGGTGGCTAACCGCTAAGTGAGCGGCGAGCCAAAACAAGTGCCTTTTATACAGACCGATGACGCAATCGCTCTCTACTTAAGGAGTGAGCGACTGCGTCATGCGATAATCGCATGACGCAGTCGCTCGCTCCTTAATGCAATTGAGGGAGGGCGGGTGGTGATCTTCATACTAGGTAAGACACATCATTTTATTTTATAACGCGGATATTTGCGAAGTAAATTTTTCTAAAAGCTTTTATAAGTATAGAGTGCTTCCTAAATATTTCGACAAGTTTTGACCTTTATCTAACTTATAAAGCAAGCAGTGTCGGATATGGTCCTTGCTACACGAGATGTTAGTTGTGATGTGAAGCCAGGATTACGTCATAGTCATCATCATTACAGCCCTTCAAAAATCCACTACTGAACATAGGCCTTCCCAGAGTCTTGAGCCACCGGCATTCATAGACTTCCTGCAGGTCATCACTCCATCTCGTAGGGGGCCGCCCTACGAGATGGAGTCCTCTTTAGTTACTTTTACTACTCCATTCTTCGAATTATGCACTTACGGACTATTTGTATAGCTTGTGTCATCTAGCAACATATTTTTACTTTATTGCTTTTTTCCTAACTTAGATTTCGGGATTTGGTAAACGAAATTTTTGTCCACACGTTATATTATTACTACTTACTACTGTTTTTATATTTTTAACTTAATTTTAATGGGGGAATGAGAACGGTTTTTTGGCACTAACTCCGGGCAGCGCAAATCCATTCTACGCCACTGTCATGTGGTTTTTGAAAAGAAGTCTGAAAATTGGCAAACAATTCGCCTTATGTAATTGCACAAAATGTTTTCCGCTGCTTCATCATTTATCACCTATCTTATCAAAATACATTTTATTTTATAATTCCAAAAATATTTTTTTATGCAATGTCCTCACCAGCTTTTTGTAACCGCATCTACATCTTGGTCTGATTATAGCAGGTGTTGCCCTGAGCTCACAATAGAATCGACCGCCGGGACTCTGGTACGATGAAATTAAACCTGCGAATTTTTTATAATGTTAACTCCTACTCGGTTCATTACATCAAATGTCCACAGCTGGACATAGGCCTCTTAGATTATAGGGAAGATTATATATATCATAATCGCCATACCTGGTTTAAGAATATCCACTACCCCATATCTCCCCGGGAGTTTCGTAAGAGGCGACACAGGAAAACAAACAAGGATATGGGCTGCGGTTGCCAACCCGCCTGCCAAGCGTGACAACTTTAGTAAATATGAAGAACCTGTGGGGGGGGAGGCCTATGTTCAACAGAGGAAGCTATAGTGGTAACGGTAGCGACCATACTTAGCAAACAGTTTAGCGATTGTAGCACTAGTATCAATTGCGTAACATTGGTGTGAATTGTTTGCGGGTGGGAATCACAACTGCGCAACTACGTCATATTTTTTTTACATTATGATAACATTTTAAGTGTTTATAAGATAACAAATATAAAAAGTACATCGACTTTATCTTTTAGTATCAATTATATGCGAAACAACAAAACAAAACGTCAGACATCAAAACGAATTCAACGACGATTTGATGTCTGACGTTTTACTAGAAAAATATACCACCAGAATTACACTATCGCACTGCTTATGTTTCGCGTTTTTGACGATACTCATTACCGATACATATTTTGCATCTGAGATAAACGAAATTACAGAACACTATTGTTATTTACAAGATGGTACTTAATCCCGTGAATATCGTAAGAAGCGACAGAGGGAAACGAAATAAGAGTTGGGCAGCAGAATCTTTCTAAAATAACAGAAATTAATAAAAAAAAACTGCGGTTTCCAATTCACTTGACAACTACGGCAGATCCTTAGGCAATCTATGGGGAGACCTGTGTTCAGCGGTGGACTTTGACAGGCTGTAATGAATGAATGAATTAATGAATACATTAAATATTACAACCGACATACAACAATGATAGTTTGTAGGTATATTTCATGTGTCATACAATGTATATCTAAAGAACGCTAAAGCCAATAAACTATTATTTCTAAACGAGCTGTTCCCAGCGACATCGTCCGCGTGAATATATTACAATAGGATTTCATGGGTTTTTTTTTTTTTGCGCGTAACTCTAATTCTTTTTCTAAAATAAAAGTAGCCTAAGTTACTCTTTATAACATCAGCTATCTGCCAGTGAAAGTCCTGTGAAAATCGGTCAAGCCATTTCGGAGATTAGCCGGAACAAACAGACAGATAGACAGACAGTCGGAGAGAAAGACAGACAGACAAAAATTTAAAAAAAATTGTTTGTTATAACCGTAGGTACCGTATATACTTTCGAATACATTTAGTAAAAGCTGTTATTTCGACATTACAAACAGACACTTTAGTTTTATTTATTTGTATAGATGTAGATAAATATGTAGATTGCAATATCAAGATATAGACGAATATCATAGCGATACGTAAAATTTATCGAAATACACATCTATCAAATTATCATATTACTGCAAATTACATTTCATGACTCACGGGCACAAACTACCCTAAAATATTATCAACAAGTCCAAGCCAGCGGATGTCACAAGATATTTTTGTTCAGAGAGAGAGAGAGAGAGCCCTGGTAGCTCAAGAGTTGAGCGGTCACAGTAACATTTACAATACGCGAGCAACTCGAACTCGAGTTCGATTCCCGGCAGCACCAATGAAATAGTTAATTGCAAAAGTGCTGATTTACCACGTGCTTAGCAGTGAAGGAAAACACCGCGAGGAAACCTGCTTGTGTGAGAAATTATGAAAAAAATTTCGAAATCATGCGAAGGCCACCAACACGCATTAGAGCTGCGCGGCAGATATTTCTTATCCCTAATACTGTATCAAAAATGAAGGAATATACATATACATGTACTCAACAGTGGGAATCAGTCGTCATGTTTTTGCCCGAACGTTTGGATTATCTAAAGGTTTTTTTTTTACCACTGGCCATATGTATCTAAATAGGATTTAAGAGTTGCCCTCTTTTCCCTAAAGAGGGTCGCTTCCGATTCGGCAGAAAGGCCACAAAAGCCAATGCCAGTCTCACAGGTGGTGTTTAGTGGGTAGGCACTTAGATTTTCGCAGTGAGTCCCACATAATCAGGACAGCCGGCTGTCATGGTATGCTTAGAGCATTCACCACCTCCCTTCTTCGCTTCCCGGAGGGTAGCCCTTTCCATTGCATCTGGGCGCAAAAAGAAGTTGCTACGGGAATTGATCGTAGGTTGCATCAATTAAGGTTTCATTAGTTTTTTTAGACAATCAAATGACAAACGACTTTGTAATTAAACTAATGATAAATAACCCTTGTGTTCTACTACAAACCTAAAAAGGCAATATGTGTAGGTATTGTTTTGTTTCACAACCTTCAAAAATACTGACTCCCTATAACTTTAAAGCCGTGAAATAACTGGCAAAAATTAGCGAGTGGTCTGTACCCGTTACACTCATTAGCAAAGTTCATCTTGTATCGAATCTATTATAAATGTATAATATATCGCGTATAACATACATACCTAAAGACAGTCTCCGTTCATTTGACGTTACATTCAATGTGCCACGACCGCAGTAGTATTCTGCTGACGCTAATTGAGGGTCTCCATCTCTTGACACCAGGAGCCGGTCCATAGAACATGAAGGAGACTGCAAGGTTTGAAGAAGATTATAAGGTTTACGAGGTATAATATGGTTGTAACACAAATTGGTCGACTTGACCAGGAAAGGACCACGTTTTCACAGAACACCAGCATAAAACAACAGCTTAATGCAGTACCTGTGTTTTGTATGGTGAGTGTAGAGATCCGGAAGCCCTTTTTAGTACAACCGAAATCCAACAAAAAGGTCACAGATGCGTTGTCACCTCTCAGGACTAAGATGCAATGCCTTACAGCTTGTAATTATACTGGTTCTCTATATCTATACCCTTCAAAACTTCTCAAAAGCAGTGCACGCACTCATTGAAATATAATCACGCTCACTGGAATATTTCTTTTTATAGGAGAGGGGGCAAACGAGTATGCGGCTCACCTGATGGTAAGTGACTACCGCCGCCCAAGAACAACTACAACACCAGGGCCTTTTAAAAAGGAGTAGGCTCTTTTCTTGAAGGTCCCTAAGTCGTATCGGTCCGGAAAAATCGCTGGTGGTAATCGATTCCAGGTGGAAGTTGTGCGAGGAAGAAAACATCTTCTAAATCGCACAGTGGTGGACCGCCAGTCATCCAGATGGTGTGGATTAAATTTTAGCGTCAATTTTAAGCTTTCTTAAAACAAAAATACGATCAATTTGACAAATATCTAGGAAAATAGTTACTAGAAAAGATATTGTGATTAATGTTATATACATAAGAAATTAAAAAACAAGCCATATGAAATTTTTATAAAAATGCTGTGGATAAAACGATTAGTTTCACCAATTTATATTTTTTTTATTATTGAAGAGTGGACAAACGAGCATGCGGCTCACCTGATGGTAAGTAACTACCGGCGCCTATGAACAACCGCAACACCAGGGGAATTGCAGATGCGTTGCCGGCCTTTTAGAAAGGTGTAAGCTCTTTTCTTATAGGTCCCTAAGTCGTATCAGTCCGGGAAAAACGCCGCTGGTCAAAAATTAGATTTTTTACCATTTGTACGAAAAAGAAAACTCCTAGTAAAACGCAGAGTCGTGGACTGCCAAGCATCCAGATGGGGAGGATGATATCGTGAATTTTGACGGAATGTGTCGTGAAATTTGACGGCTGGAATTAATCCGAACAATTCCTCAGAGCACTCCCCGTGGTAGATTCGATAGAAAATGCAAAAGGATGCAATATCCCTACGCAGCGCCAGTGTATCGAGCCGATCAGAAAGAACTCGGTCGTCTACGATTCGAACCACTCTACGCTGGATGTGGTCAAGTGGAAGAAGCTGGCACTGGGGTGCCCCGGCCCAGAGATGAGAACAGTATTCCATGTGAGGCTGAACTTGCGTTTTGTAAAGTTGCAAGCGATGTGCCGGAATGAAATACTGTCTCGCGGTGATGAGCACGCTAAGCTTTTTAGAGGCCAATTTGGCCTTCCCTTCCACGTGACCACGAAACTGCACACTATTCGATATGTCGACGCCGAGGATTCCGATGCTAGCTGAGGCGGCAAGGGGAGTGCCTTGTAACTGAGGAGATACGACAAAAGGGTTCTTTTTAACGGTAATTAGCGGGCAAACTTGTGTCTTCTGGGGATTGAACTGGACTAGATTTAATCGCCTCCAATCCGAGAATTTGTTCAGCAAAGACTCGACTTCAGACACAAGTTTGTCCCGGTACTCGGCAAAGTTTTCCTGAAAAATGTTGGCACGGCCGGTGTATAAAGCATCACCAGTGCTGTCGTCTGCATAGCAATGAATCTTACCAGCTTGCAACATCTCATTTATATGCAAAAAAAACAGTGTTGGTGATAGCACGCAGCCTTGTGAAACACCAGCATTAGTAGGCTTGTAATCAGAGCATGCACCGTCTACTACCACCTTGATGCTCCGATCAGCAAGGAAACTGGTGATCCAATAGCAAAATTTCTGGGAAAGCCCATAGGAAGGGAGCTTCGAAAGAAGCGCTTTGTGCCAGACCCGATCAAAGGCCTTCGCTATGTCCAAACTAACGGCCAACGCCTCCCCCTTGGACTCTACTGCCTCCGCCCATCTATGAGTCAGGTAGACCAGAAGACCCTGACGAAAACCGTATGGGCGGTCACTAATCAACTGGTGATATTCAAGGTACCGCATGAGCTGGCACTTAATAAATGATTCCAATATTTTGGAGAACAAGGAGGTGATGGCGATAGGCCTGTAGTTGGACGGGTCTGAGCGGTCGCCCTTTTTAGAGATTGGGTGGACAAAAGCTGTCTTCCATGATTTCGGGATTACGCCTAGGGAGTAGGAGTACCGGAAAAGACGCGTTAAAACCGGTGCCAACTCCAGAGCACACGTCTTCAGCACAATGTGAGGGACGCCACCAGGCCCACTCAACTTGCTGACGTCCAGGGAGAAGAGTGCTTTGCGAACCCAGTGCTGTGTACATCGTACATCCCGCATGGAGCACTCACACCGCGGGATGGTCGGGGGTGTGTTCCCCCGTCATCTAAAGTCGAGTTGGACGCAAAAAGAGAGCTCAACAGATCGGCTTTCTGCTTTGTGACATGGGCCAGTGAGTCGTCCTCTCTGTGCAGAGATAGACGAAATGGCTGACAGAAGTTCCCTTGGACAGCCTTGGCGAGAGACCAGAATGCATGGTTTCCAAAGGGTGGTGAACTAGCTTCTCTTCAATTCTGCCTATGTGCTCAGACCTTGTCTTGGCAATGACTCTTTTGAAAGACCTGGAGGCGGAATTATATTTCTTTTTAAGAGCGCTGGTATTTACATCCCGTGACGTTGATGCGTCAGCCCAGGCCCGGTAGCACTCCTGCTTATAGCGTGATGCTATTTTACAGGAGCGACCGAACCATGGCTGGGATCTGCCTGCGATGGGCACCACAGAGTATGGAATTAAAAGTTCCATACCCTGAAGTACCACATCAGCAAAAGAATCAGCAACAACGCTGGAATCTTCCGGCGAAAAGCAAACCCGCCCACAAGGGTAGGATGTAAAAAGACCGCATCTCATACCAATCGGCTGACCTATAGTGCCAAACACGGCGGCAGTCTGCAGAATGCAACCGCGATGTTAGTGTGAGTGCCACCACACTCCGGATAAGACAATAAGTCCGACGAGCCTAAAGGAGCGTCGACGGAAACCTGATATCCGTCCGAATGAGAGGTCAGCAGAAGGTCCAACAGGGAAGGTGCATGATTGATGACGGATTCCAGACGTGGCGGAGTCTGGAATCCGTGTAGGCGAAGTAACCAGTTGTGTAAGACTATATGCCAAAGCAAAGTCATAAACAGATCTCCCCGCATGATCGGTTGAACGTGAACCGAGCCATTCAGCGTGGTGGGCGTTTAAATCGCCAAGGATCACGGTATATATATATATATATATATATATATATATATATATATATATATATATATATAAAGAGAACAAAGATAGAATAAAGAGTTACATTCCCTGAAGTACCACATCAGCGACAAAATCACGTTGAGATCATCCGGCCATACCTTCCCCTGTCCTCAAGGGAAGGATGCAAAGAAAGACCGTATCCTGTCCCAATAGGCCGACCTATAGTGCCAAACACGGGAGAGATCGGTCGATTCGAGCAGCTATGCGCTGGATGCGATTTGGACGTGGTCGATGAATTGGTCTGTATCGGCATTACCTATAGAGGCGCCCATAGACGCGAGAATGGTTGTTGTTGACCTTCAAGACTGCCGAGGTATTGACAACAGATGTCCTCCAGGGGTGGTGGTACCCTCCTGGGATGGTTTCTTATTTAATTACACTACGATTTTAAGGGGAAGAGATGTTAGGCCTCCGACCACCTGCACTTAACAGCCGAAGTAAACTTCTACTTCACGCTGGCTATTTGTAAGATCGTAGGTCTCTTCGGTTCGAGCTGGTCCACCCATTCATTACATTCATTCATTAAAGCTTTTCATTTCATGTTTTATCAGGTCGTCACTCCATCTAGTCTGGCTCACCCGTGCGACAGCAAAAGCTGCCGTGTGACTCTTCCACTGTAATGTTATCTGCCTATATTATTAAGTGTAATCTACTTCGTCATTGTTTATGCGTTACACATAATGCTTAGTAGTACGTAACTTTGCTTTATTATGCCCTGCAATTGACGACAAGGAGCTAATGATGAAGTTGCTTTGCGCCTTTAAAATAATTAGTTTACAATTTAATTTTTGCCCCGAGGCCCTTGGTTACATATCTACGCCATTGAATGTAGGCCCACAAGTTGGCACGAGATCCGTGTGGTGTCGGTTTTTTTTTTTACAAAAGATCAAAGGGTTTTGACAAAGAATTGGCCGCCGTGTCCACACGTTGGGCGCACGTTTAGGTTGCTACGCGCTCCCAGAGTGATCGCACGCACCTGATTTAAAATTTATATTCACGCATCTTAACTAGTGTCTACAATATGGCAGTAAAAATGGCCAGTGAAGAAACTTTTCGCTTTATAGAGTTCTACCAAGCCGAAAATTATTTGTGGAACACAAGAAATAAAATTTCTTTTATTGCATATCTTTTTGGTCATCATTTTCTTATACACATCCACGTAGTAGCTGTATACTGTGAATAAATAAACCGCAGCAGCCGTTAGCACCTCAATATCTATTTTAATAAATTCGTCCGCACATTGGCCTAAACCGAAGCAAACTGAACGGCCGTCCAACGTGTAGACACCATCACAAACTCTTGGCTAATATCTTTGCCAACACATTCGCCACTATACTGGCCAAAGTAAAGAGACGCCTCTTCGATGATGTCGATATCCTAAACGATGTCGATAAAGGCGACTCTTCACGTTGGCCAACATTGTCGCTAATGGTATGGCCAATACCGATGGCCATCGCATAGAGCGGGTGTTTGTGCTTCACTTGGTATGTATTGGAATGATGGCCCACAAGTTAGCGCGAGATCCGTGTGGTGGTGGTTTTTTTATAAAAGATCAAAGGGTTGAGGCAGAGTATTGGCCGCCCCCCCCGAACGGGTTCTACTTCTAGAAATAC